CAGCAACACGCGAAGAGAATAAACATATTGAGAATGATTTTGATAAACGAGCCATGTTGTACCGTGTATGAAACGCCATCAGCCGCGAGTAAAATTCGGTGGTAACTTTGTTGCAAATTTTTATGCTGATCCGCAACTTTGGATCGACTTTCGGCTGCTTTGCATACAACGCGGGATCTCCCCTCCGCGATAAAGCTGCCGAACCTAAGGCTTACTCCAGATCGACTTTATATCGGCATTATAAAAGAGTCTTCGAAAGCGATCGTCCTCTCTAAAGAGAGAGGCAGAGAGTTCCTACGAGATGGAACACGTTACTTCGATTTTATTTTCGCTCCTAATATAATATAACCACTCGAAGTTCAACTTAATGAGAGTTTAACGTTAAATCTTAAAACGACAGAGTAGTGAAAATGACCGATTTGTTGTATAATTTTCGTCGGGAAATTTTGTAGACACGAGACAGTGAATTTTTACAGATTCGAACTTTTCTAAAATATATAGATAAAAAAAGCTTTCGTACAACTTACTGTTGTTACAAAGCTTTCCTATCTTTTCCACTTTAACGTCCCTGATGATGGAAATTTTACGCTTCAGTCTAGAAACTAACTGTTAAAGAATCAATCCCTTATTGAATGTTTCATCAATTTGTATTGTCGAATTGTGTTTCTTAACAGAAAGTTTCTCATCGTTGCATACCTTCGTTTACTTAATTAATTAACGCTTTTAGCAATGTCTGCAAAATGACGCCGAGTTGCGCGTGTAAATACGCGTAGCGCGTTCAACTTCAACCTGGAAATACCCAGTTTCGAGATAATTCGTTCTTGTCATCGTCTGTCTGCAGCGGCAAGAAAATTTCATGCGAAAGACGGGCGCGTCTGTGACGTACAATTATTTGCGATAAAGCCGTGGGACGTCAAAAGAATGATTGTAATAAATATGAAAGGAGAACGGAGATACGGGACGCGAAATAAAAGGACGCGGCAATAAAATTCGAAATTAAATTCTACTTTCAATTTCTTCATATTGCAGCTCGCTCAAACTCCGGGGGAAATGGAGAGAGATTTCTTACAACTCGACGCGATGAACTTTAACATGACAGTTATTAACTTCCCGGCCCGGCCACTCTTTTTAAATACGTTCCAACAGTGTCGAGTCATTATTTATCGTCGGCATGGAAAATTTCTGTGCGTGCTTGATGACATCGGAGAACACGCGAAGCATTGAAACCGACATAAATAAATAAAATTTTTATTGCGCGCGTAGTTTCTTGAAAATAATATCCACGGAGACTGCTCGGAGACTTTTTGTGATTTGTGGAAAATTCCTTTTATCGATAATATTATTATAACATTTAACAAGAGTAAAGTCTAAACGAGCAGCATGATCGAACTTCGGGACAAAAAGTCACACACAGACACACACACAGTCTCGAAAGTGTCTGCCGTTGGGGGGAAATTCTTTCCGTTTGCCGGAAAGTCATCAGGCTCTCTTCGAAGTTGCGGGGGGATTAATAACGCAGAAAGTGACTTGCTCCTCGCCTTATCAAAAGTTGAAGCATTTCGCGCAATCGAACGAGGGAACTCTCGCGGAAACAATGCGCCGAGTTGTCAAGAGTTGAGAAGATTACCGAAGGACATAGACACCCACCCTGGAAAGTCGCTTAGCGTTATCAAAACTAGTTCGGTACTCAAACGAAGATTGAAGACGGTACTTAGGTTTGAAATACGGCAGCAGTATTATCTTCCTCTGTATACCGGGGAAGCTTGATGGAACGAGCTTAATAAAATTCGCGGGAAAGTAAAAGTCAAACCTGAAGTTCGTTTCGCTCGGTTCTTTGAAATATATATATATATGACGTGTTTGAAATATTTTTATTTACCAAGTGTTTATGGGCCCATATTTGTTAATATATATAGTTATATATATTAATATATATAGTTAATATATATATATATATATGACGTGTTTGAAATATTTTTATTTACCAAGTGTTTATTTGTTAATATATATATATATATATATGACGTGTTTGAAATATTTTTATTTACCAAGTGTTTATGGGCCCATATTTGTTAATACATATAGTGTTTATTTGTTAATATATATATATATATATATATATATATATGACGTGTTTGAAATATTTTTATTTACCAAGTGTTTATGGGCCCATATTTGGAATGTAAATCAATTTTTGTGAAGAGATATTTCGAAGATAGGAGATATTTTCTATCGCTGCATAAATCTACCACGTTTCTAACTCTTCAGCTGTGCCATTTCCCACCGGTGCATTTTAATTAATAAATTTACATTGCCTTTTCTAAAATTCAATTTCCATTCGTATGTAGACAATGAACGTATCGTTTCGACGAATAAATAATAATAATATTATATAAATATAATATTAAATAAATATTAAATAAAATACATATTATATAAATATAATATTAAATAAATATTAAATAAAATACATATTATATAAATATAATATTAAATAAATATTAAATAAAATACATATTATATAAATATAATATTAAATAAATATTAAATAAAATATATATTATATAAATATAATATTAAATAAATATTAAATAAAATACATATTTAATAAATATCCCGAATAAATAATAATAATATAAAATGAATAACAATAATAGTAACATTTATATTATTATAAAATGCCCAACACGATGGGAATGATCAGGGATACAATGAAAGTAGAGTTTGAAAGACAGATTTTGCAATTTATAATTCACAATTGGACAAGATCGTACATACGCGACAAGAGCAATCCCCTCGCCGCGAGTGAAACATCGGCGAGTAAGAAGCTTCATTTTTACGTCGGGGATGGTAAAAGGAGCCAGGCCAGCGTCGAGTAAAACCCTCTCCCTCGGCTTTGAGAAATAGCGGAGAAGCTCGATCGGACAGGAGGACGACCAACCGTATCCAGGGGAGCTTTTATTGCGCCCGGGGTTGCAAAGTCGCCGGCGATATCCTTCATGCAAATAAACCGCGTGATTACACGTTACACCGTTAAACGAGAGGCGGAAGCTTCGCCATGGAACGGCGGCCATGTTCGCGCTACTCTTTGATCCCTGGTCTATACATTAATCAACCGTGCGAGCAGAACTCGCCGCGCTGACATCTGCTAATTAAATTTCGGATCTGTTCGAAGGGACGACGCGTACACTTGGCCCGTTCGGGAAGCGACTTTGAACTTTGCGAGTGCAAACGCGATGCGATTGAAATTTCTCATTCTTACGGAATTCATTTTTGTTCGAGCAGAACACGTACGTACGTACGTACATACTGTATCGTTATGTATCGTTCGCCTGTGCAAGACGATCTCTTTGTTTTTTTTTTCTTTTTTGTCAAAATTAAAGTCGTAAAATCGCGAAACGATTCGCGTGTTACGGTAAACAACGGCAAATTGAATTCCGTAGAAAACATCGATATCAATATGGGATTTTCACGCTGGAACGGACGGAAATCACGAATTTAATCTGCCGATGGACGATCGAGCTTTATTTTCGGGAAGCGTTCTCATTTCGCCGCGGCAGCTAGGGGAAAAAAAGAGACGAATTTTGCGGCGCCGTGCACCGTGATCTGCGCGAGCACGCGAATTACCAATTTTGGGTAATTTGTTGCAACGGTGTTTAAAACCTGGCTGAGCAACGAGCCAGATTCTTCTCGGAGAACTTAGGTATTGAGATAAAAAATTAGATATCTACAAACTCGAGCGTAAATCTTTTAGTAGAAAATTGTTGTTGAGAAGAAACATTCTTTTAAACAACAAACAAACATGTATTACGTTAAAACGAAGTAACTAAGCTAAAATTACTTGTAAATACTTGAAATTGCTAGAAAGCTAAATTTACCGCGTTGTAAAGCTGTAACTTTTGACGAAAATTCTAACCAAACGATATTTCTAACTTTCGAGAAAAATACAATTGCTTGATTAATTTGCAAACTATCGATTCGGGAAATCAGAAGATGAATATTGCTTGTGAATGAGGTTGCGTGCATCGGGACTTCAGGTTTTTATAAAATATTGGCAAGTTTTGGAATTCGACGGGAGACCGAGGATTGAGAGGTTTCATCGAACACGACGTGTCTACGTTTATGGCTGTTTCACGGTGTAAAGATGCATTTAGGAACATGACCAGGTTTTATGGTGACGTTGAACGTGCATCAGCTCTACGGCGGATAAATTTAACACGACAATGTCCTCCCACGGGATCCGGTTCAAGTTGTGAACTACGACGCTCCACTTTTATCTATCACTCCGATAAACTTCGCGTTATCGGAGGCAATTCTAATTAATTAACGGATTTACCACCCCTGGCACGATCCGCCAATTACCTAGCTTCCGGTGTGTCTCTGTCAGTTAATTTGAAATTTCGTCGTTACTTAATTTTTCATCCCTTCTCGCGCGACAAATTTTCGTGCGCTTGTCGCTTAAAGAAAAAAAAGAAAAAGGAGGAAGCATAAATTTGTAACAACAAATTGTGATACGTAGATCCACGATCTTAACCAACAATATTTAATATTTATTGATATTAGTATTATAGTAGTATTCTTATTAAATTTAAATTTAAAGTCTACGAAACGCAGGGTCAAATTATCATCATCGCTAGTTTTATTACTTATTATTAGCAATAAATTGTTTTTATTATTTTTATTAATTTTATTTTTATGACGGTATTTTAGTATTATTTAGTATTATTTTTATAATAGTATTTTAGTATTATTTAGTATTATTTTTATGATAGTATTTTAGTATTATTTATTATTTTCAGTATTATATATATTTAGATATTATTTAGTATTATTTATTATTTTTAGTATTTTATATATATAGATATTATTTACTATTATTTATTATTTTTAGTATTATATATATAGATATTATTTAGTATTATCTATTATTTTTAGTATTATATATATTTAGATATTATTTGGTATTATTCATTATTTTTAAAATTAAAATATATATTTAGCAAGGATGTGCGAGAACCCGATGGTCGGTACGAGTCGAGAAGAAGTCGAGTCGGGTCGGGTTCCCGAAAATTTCGAGAGCCCCGAAAAAGTCTAGATTCCCGAAAATTTTGAAAACCCGGCTACCGTTTCTCGAACTACTCCACAATACTGCCTACAGAATATGTACGGTTCAATTTCTTCTGCCAGTTTCCGTCAAGTTATTGGAAACACGGATTCTAAGAATCGTGTGACCTGACGTATACAAACGTGTGTGACTGCGTGCTTAGTACTTGGATATTATGTACGCTGTCGAGCAGTATCGCTGAGAAATTCGGGAAGTTCAGACGTATATTTCAAAATCTGCGTGAATTTAATAAAGATTAAAAATCTTTAAAAAAAAAAGTGGAGTGATAGTGAGAGTGAAGTTGTGGTAGCGGAAATTAGTGCAGAAGATATCGTGCGAAGGAAGAAGATAAAGAGAAGCTCTGTTTGGGAACATTTTCAAGAAAAAGATGATACAAAGGCGGAATGCACGCGTTGTCACCATGAATTTAAAACGAAGTATGCAAATACTACTTGTTTATAACGCCATTTGAAGCATATGCATTTAAACATTAGTATATGTATTAGAAAAGAAACTGAATCGATATAAAATTTGTCGCACGTACAAAATACGCGAAAGATTGTTAAATTAAAAGATAAAAAACAGAAGGAATTGCTCGAATGATGGTGCTAGATCTGCGATCTTTCAATACAGTTGAAGACGTGGGCTTTAACGAATTACTTAAGTTCCCAATCCTTTCCCAAATCCCAACTCTTTCGGCAATTCCGATTCTTTTGAGAATCTCGATAAATTCGAGAATCTAAAAATTTTCGGCTACACGAACCCCGAAAAAAATTTAGCGTTTCCAACCCGAACCAATATTTCAGGTCCTCGCACACCTCTAACATTTATTATTTATTATTATATGATAAATTATATATTAAACTATATATATTACATAAATTTATTATTATATGATATTATTTATTATATTAAATTATATTAAATTATATATATTATATAAATTTATTATTATATGATATTATTTATTATTTTTATGATAAATTTTTATGGTATTATTTCCATGATAAAAATCGTCGTACGATTTTCTTATCTTCAACAACGTGAAAAGTAATTAAAACATCTCGCGTAAAAGAAGAAAGATCAACGAGACTAGCAACCAACGCGACGATCCGACATTCGAAAAGCGTTTGGAAAAGTTTGGAAAAGCTGAGTCGACCGGCCACGGAACTGAAGATCGAGTGGTGTTGCAAGCCACGTTGCACGATGAATTCAAGCGGCGGCGATGGCTCGTTCGGAAATGTGAAAGTAAACGTCATTTGCCGACCGGATGTCCTGTGGAGAAGGCTGCATATACATACGTGCGTCACGATCGAACGCAATTGCGACTCGCAGCTGCAGCAGACAGCTACGAAACCAATTACGGAACTGTGTTAATCTCTTCGATGTTTCGAGTAGTCGATGTCAAACTTCCGACTAGTTCAGCCGTTCGCGGCGCTCTATTTATGCACACGCCGAGGATAAGAATGAGACTGGGTTGAGACAAGGTATGGCTCTTGGTGTTTCTAACAGAAATAGAAGCGTGAGTTCATCGATGATTGATGAAATTCGACATAAATGTGGTTTTCGAAAAAATATTTTATTTTTAAATATATATTTTTCCTTTTGATCGACAATCGTCGATGTTGAAGGGGTGAAAATTATTCTCAAAGTTGGGGAGTAAATTCGTGTAAATTAGCGAAATTAGTTTTTTTAACGACAAACGTACGACAGTGTACACCGTTTTGCAAAAGAAAAGATCTGTTGTTTAAACAATATATTTAGAAAATCGTATTTAGTCACAAGTTTTTCCAAGCAAATGTAATTAATTTTCATGAATTGTTCGTAAATATGTTGTAGAATGTTAAATGTTGCAAATATGTTTTATTTCTGAAAAAAAACTGACTTTATTGTTTAGTACTTAAATGAAATTGAACAGAATGTAGATGTCGTTCCAATCGAAACTCATCATTCTTTTCCTTAACAAAAATAATACTACGAAGTGAACTTTGACGACAAATTTAAAAGAAATTTGAAAAAAGAAAATTTAAAATTTGAACAAAAGTCTAAAAGATCCGATTGTATTTTCCGTAAACTAACAATTTTAATTTGTGATCAGTGTTTGAATATTTTCGATACTTGGACGAGCAACGTGTTTCGAGAAAGATAAATTCGAACGAGAGGAAATTTTATAACAACCGTAAGACATCAGTCGCCGACATGTCATGAGTTTTTCAAGCTACCGTGTAAAATTTGTCAACTCTCTCATCGATATTTAAATGTTCGAACATTCCAAATATTCTGCGCTGGAAATCAGAACTAGAGCAATGTGGGTCAGCTCGTAATTTCCCCGTCGAAATTTAAGTCTAAGTCTTATTTTTCGTCAGAGAATAGGTAGTCAGTCGACGTTAAATAAAAAAAAAAAAAAAAAAGAAAAACAGAAAAAACAAAGTCGTCGAGTTTCAAACGCTCCACGATTGGATCCACCTTTCTCGCGATACATTTTCCCCAAAGCTGAGAGGAGAGAGAGAGAGAGAAAGAGAAAAAATAAAAAATAAAAAATATTGGAAAATATTTGTCTCGCTGGAAATCCGTCGTCGGTTAACCGAGACGCGAAATTCTCTTGATAATTGAAACACCCGTACGATTCGGCCCGGATAGATGAAAGGAAAATAATTATAAAAGCCGGCCGACGCGCAACTCGATTGTGCTCTACTATTTCTCAACGGGCGACAGTAAATTGAAAACGCGGGATAAACTTCTCTTAATCTTTCCCCCCTTGACCCTCCACGTAGCAAAACTTGTATTTCACGCAGGTTTATACCCCGATGACGTAAAAAAATCTATTTGCCGTCAGAATAAATATCCTCCGCAAACGGACGCGTTTAATCGCTGGCGTTTCACGAGTAACGGGAAGAAAGTTCATTAGCGAAGCGATACGATAAAGTAATCAGAATTCCAGAGGCACGGTGTTTGTTTGTCCGCTTGCTCGATGCCTGTTGATTTTAATGCTTCACGTTTGCTACCCCGCCGTCGTTATTCCATCGCGATGAAAAGCTTATCGGTAGAAACGTTTCTCTTTCGGTATAACGCGAGCGCGGATTTTGTTTTTCCGACGCGGCGGATAGAAATTGGTTTCCTTTTGTTCCGCGTGCTTGAAAATTTTCAACAGTCGTCGCCTAAGTCATCGTTCGTTCGTTTATTTATTTAGAAACGGCGTCGATTTGTTAAACAAACTGTTTCGTTGCAACAAATGTAACTTGATTTCGTAGAAAGGTGACGAGTGTCGCTCGCAACTGTTGGCTCATCGTTTGTCTAAATACGCTGGAGTGTACGTTTCACGTGGATTCTAATTGGATCACGCGAGTGCAACTAGAGATCTGTCAGTAGTTTTCCAAAAAAAAAAAAAAAAAAAGGAACAAAATATTGGAGAGAAAAGCTGATATTTATTTCACACGGTTAATAAAAAAAATATATAATAATAATAATAATAATGACGTTTCAGAAAACAAAAGTAAATTTTACTCGGTGTAATTAGAAACAATCAATCTTTTCTTTTCAATTATCCTCGTCGCTTGAAACATTTGCTGAAGTTGGCCTTCGTTTCCAATGTTAATTATTTTTCGGCTTGATTTGCTCTCAACGCTCATCTTTCGCCAAGTTTTCGTAAATTTCACGTGCTGGATACTCACGACCGGCTCGTAGAAAACAAACGCTACGAGTGTCACTGTTACTGTTACTTTTAAAAATTCTCTTCTGGCCGCGTGAAAGAACGATCGATCAAAGTATTCGCGTTCTTATTTACGACAGTGGAGAATACCAACAACGCAGCACTGGTTCTCGATACGTTCCAAGGAACATTCAATTTCACCCCTGAATACAAACACTATACATTTCCCTCGGAATCATCCGAAACTCCTGTCGGGAGAGAGAGAGAGAGAGAGAGAGAGAGCCAAGAACCCGTAATTGCGATCCTACAGCGTAGTATCGAAATACGAATAGCAAAACGCGAGGGATCGGTCAGCCGCAACGGACGAAACTGCCGGAAAGATCGAACACCGCGGCGAAAACTCGGAATTGCGCGACTCGAGGAGGGAGGAGCCAGTCAATTAGAGTATCAAGTAGAGCTATCGCGACGGTCACGTTATCTCGTATACGCGAGAATATTTGAATGCAAATCATAACGCGCGTACGTACGTGTGAAACACAGGCCGGACAATTAGATCCTGCGGTGGCCGGAGCAAGGTCGGTCACGAAACTGCCACGAGAACCTGTTCTAATCCCAGCGTGTCACTCGCTCTCGGCGTTGCGCCGCTTTGACGACTGCCAGCCGAGTTTCAACAACTTAGTTTCAGCAGGCGGCGAGGATCTTCGGATCTGTCTCAACGGCAAATGGCGCCTGGCCTGCGGTATGGCCTTTGGCTTTTGCCTCGCGGATCCTCTTTCAGCCGCTCTGTTTCCCCATTCAGTCGTATCGGACACGATGACCGCTCTCCTCCAACGCAAATCCACGACAGATTGAGAATATAGGTGGCGGATAATTTATTTCGACAGATTCGCACGCTGCGTAGCACAGTAGCGAAAAAGTTTGTGCATAAAGTGAAACGTTTTCGAACGTTTCAAGGGGAATCGAGTGTTTAGTCTTGCGATAATTCGTTTGCCTTTGCTCATTTCCTGTCGGGAAAGCGAACCGTATGGCACGAAACGAAACTCTTCTTACGAAATAATTTTATGTCTGAACGTTTTCGAATATTTTATTTTGGAGCTGGTTGATGCGCTGCGGACCATAACGAGTGACCGTATGCGATGATTCGTCGTTTTCTTTTTCTTCAGAACTCGCCGGTATGATATCACTGGATGGAAATTATTGAGATAGATAATAGATTTATTATTTTCTTTGCCTTGGTATACTTAAATATACTCAAAATTGAGAAAATATTGCAATTTTGGGACAAAAAATTCTCGACGTGCGTGGCACGTCATTCCGGCGCA